GTTGTATGAGCCCATAATAAAATGTTTTAAAAAATAATAATAATAAGGAAGTTAACAGGTTGTATGTAAAGTATATATGAAATGCTCAGGTTAAAAGTGTTCATCAGGACATGTTACAAAGTTCTTTCAAGGTGGCTAATAAAAATGTCCAAAGGCACACCAATACCACTCTGCGTATAAACCTCAACCAGAGGGCAATCAGCTCAAACTCTGTGGGTCAGCAAGTCTAGCTCCTCCAATTAAGTGCTCAGAGGCACGCTAGTCCACAAGCCAGCCGCCTGCCCCAAATCACTCAGCTTTACTTGTTTCCTTGGCTGAGAAGTCCACCATTCTATTTCAAGCTCTGGTTCTTGGTTTGTTTAGAATTTTGCTTTTGTTTTTTTAGCATCTTACATCTTCTAAGTATGGATTATACTGGGTAAAGGTTTTTAATTTTCATGTAGCCAAAATTTACCTTTTGAAAAATTTACTAAAATTGTTTACGCAAAGAAAATTTGTAAATTTAAGAATATGAAACTTTTATAGAACATGGAATATATGTTAAATAATAATACATAAGAAAACATTATAATTTTTACCCAATTGAATAACCATTAAAATATACATTACCTGCCCTTTCGTTGTATGGCACTAGCTTTGGAAATCCACACCATTTTTAACATTGTAACGGAATTCAGTGCATCAAAGGACTTCTGTAATATTTAATAAATCTTTGTTAAAAAGAAGAAATAGTAAGAAACGTTATCTACCTATTTTAACATGTCAAGTTTAATTCAAAGCCTTCTAATGACTAAGTAAGTACAACAGAGTACTAAATAGTTACACCTAAAAAAACAACTCAAAATCTATACAAAACTTGCAATCTTACTGGATAATGACACCAGGCAGCTCTCATAAAGTATCAAAATGCAAAAAAAATTTTTTTTTTTTTTATCTTCTATAAAATTTAGAATTTTGCAGAATAGGAAAAAAGAAAAGCACTAAGAAAAATCTTACTGGATAATGACACCAGGCAGCTCTCATAAAGTATCAAAATGCAAAAAAAAAAAAATCTGTTTTATTTTTATCTTCTATAAAATTTAGAATTTTGCAGAATAGGAAAAAAGAAAAGCACTAAGAAAAATCCCACTGCCATCAAGCCCATTTCAACTCAGGGACGCTACATAAAGGGTTTCGAAAACTGTGTACACTTATGGGAGCAGAGCACCTTATCTTTCTCCCTTGGTGCAGCTGCTGGGTTTTAGCTAACAATCTTACTGTGAGTTCAAGGCCTAACCCACAGCAAATAGGACAGGGAAATTAATTAAATGTAAATCTATATATTTAATTAATGAGAGTTCACTTAGGAGGTTAAGAATAAGGACATAAAAATCCTAACCCAAAAAGAATTTGTAACCTTTCCCATTTAATCCCCTACTGAGTTACCAATGAAGAACTTAGTCTACCTAAAATGTTTCAAAAATGTATTACCTCTTACTTCCTCAAAGAAGCAAAAGTGAAACTTTATTATAAAGAAATATTTTATGTTAAAATAATACAGTCCCAACAAGGCGAAATATTTCAAACATTTAATTATCCTTTTCCTCTCCTTTCATAAACTACACAGAGCAAACAAAAACAGGTTTAAAAATTGTTTATCAAAGACGATGCTCATTTCGTTTTTAATGTTAATTTGTCAATTCTGTATGTAAAAAAAACCAAACTAGCTTGACACTACCACCATGATTTAACCAAAGTTTACCATATAAATAACATCTAATTTTACTTCTCAAATATTTATTTAAAATGCGCTTCACCTTTAGATAATTTCATGGTGAGAAAAATCTGAATTTTCACTGTCTCACCCCTCATTATTTAAGTGATAATATTCATTATTGTGCTTTTGTAAGAAATCAAATTTATCTCTCCTTTACACTATGACCAACCCAGTATGTTCAAATTACATAATTTTATTTTGTAAAATTTTCTTAAAATTCTAAATACTTCTCAATATTCTAAAGATATTTCTGCTATATTTACAATAACGCAAAATAATCGCTACTTTCACAGTAAAAATAATTATTTATCTATACTTTCTAAAACATATATTCTATGCTTTCTAAAACATATACTGTATTCCCAAAACCAAACCCACTGCCATCTGCTCCATGCAGACTCATAGCGACCCTATATAGGGCTTCCAAGACTGTGAATCCTTACATTAGGAGAGTTTCCTCTTTCTCCATCAGGAGTGGTTGATGGGTTTGAACTATCAGCTCTGTGGTTAGCAGCCCAACACCTTAGCCACAGCAACACCAAAACTCCTTGAAATGTGTATACTTACTGCCATTGAATTGATGCTGACTCACAATGAGCCTATAGAACTGGATAGAACTACGCCTGCAAGTTTCCAAGATTGCAACTGTTTACAGGAGTCAAAGCCCTGTCTCTCCAGCAGAGCAGCTGGTGGTTTCAAACTGCTGATCTTGCAGAATGCAGCCCCAAATCTAACCACTACAGCACCAATGCTCCCCTAAAACATGTTTACTTGACCTTTAACATGGGTTGCAACTGCATGGGTCCATTTAAATGTGGACTTTTTTTTTTT